TTTTTTATATTTTGCTGCAAAAGGTTGAAAAGCTGTTGTTGTTGTTTTTTCTTCGACCATCTATCCTAAAACTCACTTTTTCATTTTACATCGATTTCTAACAAATATAACATTCTTATCATACAGAGGTATATATTGTACTTTTAAATTTCTCCTTGTTTGTATGAGTCGAAGGACAAAAACAATTATCTGTCTATTCGATAATGAACCTTTCTTCTTTTTATTTGAAAGAAATAAAATAAAATTTTTTTTTTGAAATTCAGAAGAAAAAAATAAGATTGTTTTTTCGAGAATAATATCATAGTCGAAATAATCATAGTCTTTTTTATGTTTTTATACACTCGCTTAAAGTAACAAGGTGTAGTTACTATCGAATAAAAAGTTCAGCGATTTTCCAAATAATTTGTTTAGCACGCATTTTATTTTCAGAAAACACTAGTCAAAGTCTGTTTAATATGTCTAGTTCTGTGAAAGGATTGTATTTTTGACAGTTGTTCTGAAACATACTAGGCAAACATCTCGAAAAGTATTTGCGTTCTACATTACATCCTGACAAAGGTCGGTGGGAATAGTGATACTGCAAAATAACAGAACTATATACAAGAAAATTGATTTATTTTCAGTTAAATTAAGTGAAGTTGTAAAGTAATTCGAACTCGATACTAATCATCAATGAAGAAAATTTTTTTGTCACTTTTACTGTTGTGTACGAAAATTGTATTTATGTGCTCTTCTTTTCAGATAAAATCATACATAATGTGACATTTAATTATTATTTATTACTTCACTATTTTAGTGTTCTGTTCTTAATGAAGTTAAACAACTTTACATATTTAATTGATCGGCGATTATTTGATCGTCCACGATCATGATACGAGCTCAAAAACCACCCGTTCGTGGTAAAACAACGGGGATGAGTCAGTATCAGCAAAATGGAAATAGTGGTGCGAGTATAAATCCACCTAATTTATCAATTCTTCAACATCAAAATGTATCGATACCAACAGTGGCGTTTGGAGCATCATCAATAGGAGCTCCGTCGACCACTACTTCCTTTGGTGGTAGTGGTGGCAGCGGCGGCGATGTTTCTTATATTGGTAAAACGTTAATAATAAATCAACATCATGTTATTGTCGAAGATATTTTGGGTCAAGGAGGTTTCTCTTATGTATTTCTTGTACGTTCATTAGCTCAGTCATCATTACAACGTTATGCTCTAAAACGCATGTATGTTAATAATGCACAAGATTTAGATGTATGTAAACGAGAAATACAAATATTGAGAGATTTATCAACTCGAAAAAATATTGTAAAATATATTGATTCATCAGTTCAGCGAATACTACCGACACTAACACCTTCGACAATGATACGAACAGACAAGGACGATGATGAAGAAGATGATACAATCTATGAAATACTTTTGTTAACAGAATATTGTTCAAATGGAACGTTAACACAGCGAATGATTGATCAACGGTCATTCAATGGGGGTACGGGTTATTTCAAAGAAAAAGAAATATTGAAGATATTTAGGTGAGAATAATTGTCTTTTATTTTATTTACACACTCTTGATTAATTTTGTGATTTTAGTGATATATGTCAAGCTGTTAGTCATTGTCATTTTCATCAACCAAAATCCATATTACATCGTGATTTAAAAATAGAAAATATCCTAATTGATAACAATTTATCTTATGTATTATGTGATTTTGGATCGGCTATCTTTATTGATGAACAACCATTACGTTCGAATTCAACAGCTTTTATTAAACAATTGGAAGAAAATATTCAACGTTATACAACATTAGCTTATCGTTCACCGGAAATGGTTGATTTATACAGTCAAATACCGATCACATTAAAATCGGACATGTGGGCTTTGGGTTGTCTACTCTACAAATTAATGTATTTTACACTACCATTTGGAGACTCCGTATTAGCTATTCAAAATGGAAATTTTACTATACCAGATGATATGGCACATTTGTATAGTAAAGAATTAAATTTATTAGTTCGATACATGTTAGAAACTGATATTAATAAGAGGCCAGACATATATCAGGTAACAAAGTGGCTCTATTCACATTTCAGAGCGAAAACGTTTTGCGAACTGTTGTCTTTTTTTCTTTAGGTATCTTATCTAACCTGTAAATTAATGAATATGGATTGTCCAATAAAAAATCGTTTCAATACAAAATTGCCCGATTTACAATCGTTAACGATGCCATTAACAGAAAGCGAATCACGATATCAACGATCAATAGCAAGTAGTATTTCAAAAACGCCTATTATAGAAGATAATACTCCATCAGCTGGCACAGCAGTTAATCCAAGAGAAAGACCAAAAGGAATTATTACACAATCTGGTTCACTGAATTTTAATCAATTCCAACACCAGCAAAAAATCGCTCCCATACAACCACCCGTTCATCGTGCATCACAACAAGAATCACCAGCTCGCCCAATTTTACTTTCTCAACCACTCATAAGTACTTCAAATGTTGACTCTATTCCTCATCCTCAAAGCTCTATTCGTTCAGTATTACAAACCCAACAGACTAGTGGTACTTTGATACCAACTCATTCACTTTCTCATCAACGTTCTGGATCAGCTGTTCAACTTATGTTTGACGATGATTTTTCTCAATTCATTTCACAAAATACCCCAACCCAAGTATTACATACATCAAGTTTGACAAACATAGCGGATACAATAAATACGACTAAGGTATCTGCACGTGCAAGGCCTAGCCCGCCAACTACTGTATCAGCTGCAACGGGTTCATATTATACCCAAAATCTTGTCTCATTATCTGACGAACAAAATGTAAATAATTTATTCCAACTACCACCTCCTCCGTCTACTGCAACAGCAACAGTTTCTGCCGTCTCCCAACTTTCTCTTGATTCCACATCACCAGAACTACAATTTCATCGTACCCATCGACGATCACAAAGTAACACTGTTAGTCCATCTCTCTCATCACAATCAACGAAAAATTATTCTTTTCAAATGGCCTCCTTCGTTGAGCCCGGACAATCGGAACAACAACAATTAAATGTATTTTTTTCTGATAGACGACATTCTACAGACAATGCAAGTTTACATCGATTACAACCAAAAACAACAATGACAAGCGAAGCGTTTACGGATGAAGACGAAGAAGATGAACACTTTTCTCCGACTAAAAATTTATCAAAAAATAAATCTAGTTCAAATACGTCAATACAAAATGTTAAATCACGTGAAAGCTTAGTATTGGAAGAAGATGAATTGACATTTGCTAAAAAATATACTGTTAATTCTAATATTCGACCAGATGATGAAGAACAATCAATCTCATCTTCAAACTCCTCGCTCTCGTCTAATTCAGCATCATCGAATCCAACTCAGGTAATTCCTAGTTAGTCTAACATGTGATTACAACTAATTATGTTTCTATGGTTTTATTTAGAATGATAAAAAAAGAAAATGTGAAAAATCCAAACGACAAAATCTATCCGGGTTAAATGAAAAACGATTATCAAAAAAGAAAAAACAACAACAACATTCTCCGTCTAATACATCATCGCCACTAAAAGTATTATCAACGGAGGAGGCTGAACAAAAGACAACTATAACAAACAAACGATTAATGATGCGTATTATTGGTCGTCGATCTTATGATGACCAAAACTTATCTTCAACGCAAAACGAAAACGAAGACTACGAAAATGATTCTAAACGAGATGATGTACAAAATAATGACATTGCTTTCGATCAGTTAATTAATGAAGACTCAGATGATGATAATCACAGCAAGATGAACACAATAGCAACTAGTAGCTTTACAACAAGATTGTCGACTAAAAGTGGTGGTGGTAGTAGTGGAGGTCAACAACAATATGAACATTTAAGTTGCGAAGACAGTACAGATGCCAGTGATAATGAACATCAATTACAACACAAATCAAGTAAGTGGATATGTTTTTCATACGCAAGACGTTTCTGTGCACTGATTCAATCTGAAATATCCATTGAGACTTTGTCAACATAATTAAATATAGATTTTTAGTTTTAATAGTTAAAAATAATATTGTTCGTTTAGACGAACGAATGACATGGTTCTAAATACAAAAACAAAAGTAAAATCACTTTGCTATTTACGCACATTTCTTATAAATTGATTGTCTATTCCATAGGATAGACGCTTTTCTGTGCATGACATAAATAATTAGTCAGAGCGAAGGAAATATATATCAATTTTGCTTTATGATTTTTTTTCTGTTTCGTTTTCTATCTCTTTTTTTTTAATTTTCTAGGTAGTTCATCGACAACGAAACTAGCCGAAAAAGTGTTTAATTTATTTTCATCGTCAACAACGAATACAAATGTTACATCTACACCGTTAAAAGATTCGTCTAATTCTTCACGTTCTTCTACAAAGCAAACATCTGCCAAAGCCATTGGTCGTGTATTTGTCGATGCACCATTTACATCCAAAAAGAAGCAATCAATTGATTTAAATACACGTAAGCGTTTATCAATTAATTCTCCAATTTCACATCTATCATCATCGCCTACGCAAAACCATTTCGATACTACAACAACAACAACAACAACAACGACGACAACAATATCATTTGAAAATCCATTTTTACATGCTCCTTTTCGTCATCAAAATAATCGACATCGTTCACCATTATCACCAAAACAACAACAGCCACCATCTCAACATACTGTTGATAAAGTAGAAGTACCATCCGTAAGTTTCGATCCAGACGGAATATTGATGCGTACAAGACGAAGTGCATTTGCACCATATCAAAAACAGAATAGAGATATCGAAATTGATTCTCAGTTAGAACCATCAGGTAATTGACTCTTTCTAGTGTTTCAAATTTCTTTCAAGTGTCGAATGATTTAAATATTTTTAGACATTGGCAATAATACCGACGATTCTTCTTCTTTGCTTTATAATTTTAATGCAAAAACAAAATTAACACATTCTGAATCTTTTCCACCTGATATATATAAACAAGTCGAATCGCCAACAAAAAATGATGTGTTTATTAATGCACCATTTAATAACAAATTATCAAATAAAATACGTCCATTACAAAATCCCAAAACACCCTCATCACCGTTGTCTACATCATCATCAAATTCACATTTAATCGATCTTGATCAACAACTAATCAACATAGATGACGATGGAAATACAAATATGAGTTTTATAGATAATAATAATAGTTCAAAAACTTTTATCCCTCCACTAATAAGTTCGGGTGATCCATCTCGTTTTTCTGCATTAGCTAAGCAATTGAAAACATCACAAACAACAACTGTTACTTCTGTTGCTCCACCGACACTTACATCTTATCCATCTTCATTCTTATCAAATGAAATTGTCGGCATTGTTAATAATCAAATTGGTTCAACAAACAAGGTTCATGAACGACGTGTATACGGCTCAGCTGCAGTAGTCACGGGTTTGGCACAATTAAGTGGTCTTAATGGAATGCAAACAACATTTAATAAGGTTCCATTATCGATGAAACAACAATCAGTCGATAGTAGTGATAGTCATTATTTTAGCTCGAATAATAATAAAAATGATTCGGATATGGTAGCAACTAATTCATCTAGTGAAGAGTTGACATCTAGTTTACGTCGAAATAAAAAGAAATCATCATCTACTAAACACCAACAAACTGCATCAAACATACAGGGAATAAATCAATCTGCAATATTGCCAACGATGTCATCAAAAAACAATAGTAGTGCTAAGAATAATAAAGTGAATCAATTCGCTTTTGCTAATTTAAGTTTTAATGCCAAAGATGACGCAGATGAATTGTTATAGACAAATCATAGATTTGCATTCAATGAGGATAATAGTCATTTTGTTTGTACTGATATGACACGTCGTTTGTACTAGATTCGAAAATATAATCATTTATATTCTCTAAATTTAAATAATTTTATATTGCAATGTTTTTTTTTTTTGTTCTCACTAGTTTTTTTTCAAGCAAACGGCAAATGCAATATCTATTTTCTATTTTCGTACTAACTTTTGTTTCTTTATTGTTGTCCGGTGATTGTTGGAATTTCTCACTTTTTTTGTTCTATTTCTGTATCTATCTAACCATCTATCTATCTATCTTTGGGATTTTCAGTAAAAAAAAACAAGGCCGTTCTTTTTTTTTTTTTCTCAAATGAGCATATATTAAAAGTAGACGCATCTATTGTGTATAAAACTATCGAAAAAATTTTTTTTGTTTTTCTACAGAATTCATAGCTGTTATTTCTCCTTTCATGGAAGTTTTTTTGTTTGCAAAATATTATTAAGTTCGATCAGTGGATTCCCGCATGAATTTGTAATGGCTAGTGGAGGACCCATTTGTCATAATTGAAAGATTGTTTTTTAGCAGTAATTTTAGGACGAGAATGTTTTTTTTCTTTTTTTGTTGTTGCACATCATTCCATACCATTCCTTGTTTATTAAGATACTGCAAACAAAAATGCATGTTTTTTTTCTTCAATATCAACTGCGAAAATAACAGTGTGTCTACCATTTTTTTGTATAAAATAATATTAAAACGGTTTAATCGTACATCTTTCGGTTTTGTTTTTTTTGAATGGGATGTTTTTGTTTTCTACATATTTGTAATCTATAACTAACATTTTTTCTTTACCGTATGTGTCATTTTCAACCCCATGTATTTCTATTTATTTTGCACTATATCATTCCTGTTAATTTGTTTTCTGTTCTGCTTCAAGAAACATAATATTTATATAGAAGAATAATACAGAAATGTATTCGATAATCTTGCATAACAAAAATTCTAAAAGAATAATTTTTAAATATTTCTTCGTTTTGTTGCTTTCTATGAAAAGTAATGGCACTATAGTTTATAATCAATCGCATCTCGTATGTAATATCCAAAGAAAAATGTATGAATAATTTTATTCAAATTTTATTTTTAGAGTAGATCGATATCTCTATGTTTTATGAGAATATACTTCAAACAGACGGTACTTACTTTGATTATTTGTTTGTGTATTATCGTTAGTCTTGTCTTATATCGTTGGAAATATGTAAGTTATTTTGATCTCTTTATATCTATTGAATCTTAGATTTTTTATTTTATTAGAAAACAGAAAACAAATTTTCACAGTTTCCACCGTTAAAATCAAGTATTGAATTAGAACAATTACTTGAACAAAATTCATCAAGTATTTGTCAAAATTTTGCTCAAGGTATCAACTTTGCTGTTGATAGTAAAGGTAAGGTGATAGGCTAATATTATGATAATATTTGAGTAATGTTGTTCTCTATTAAAGGATATTTGTGTCAACGTCGTTATTTAGAAAAACATACAGGATGTTGTCAACAAGTAATAGCATACGGTCAATTTGTATGTGATACGTGTTCACTATTTAATCATTGTTGTTCAACGTTTGAACATTGTGTATCGTGTTGTTTAAAACCAAATCATGTAAGTTATCATTTCTCTTTCTTGAATATAGAGGATACAGGATTAAATTTAAAGTTATTGTCTATTGTGAATTGATTGCTCTATATTTTAGCGTCCATTTTTACATGATTTTATTCGTTCTCGAGATTTAAAAACAAAATTATTATTATCATCTCTCACATCAACGTTTGATGTTTGTTTAGCACGTTGTCGAACAAGATCTGATAGTGTCTATAATGAAAATCAATATATTGATTCAGTAAGAAAATATTGTTTTGGTAAAACAACAATACATCCTGGTGGTTTATTGGAACGATTAGGACGTAATTGAGAAAAAAAAACATGGCCTCAGTAGATGATGTACCATCAAAAATAAATAACTCGGAAAATGATTCAAAATATTTACCATTTGACATACAATGGTTAGATTCAAGCTATCAACAAACATTGTTGACTGATAGTCCCTGGCAAAAAGTGAGTCGTATGATGATTATTTTTGTTTTTAATCAAATTTAATTAAAACTTTTCATGTTTTAGATTCTTGATGATTTAGAGCCAAGTTTGGCTGATAATGTACGACAACAATTTCATAATCCTGAACGACGACAAATATTGATTGAATTACTTGGAACGTTGTATCAATGGACAGTATTTCGAGCAGAACCAGATCAACCATCTCTACTAGTGAGAAACATTTTTTTTGTTTTTTAATTCTTATTTATAACATAAGTACTGAAATAATTTTTGATTTTATAGTTACCTCCTATGATGCCTGAAGAACATCGACGAAAATTAGAAAATGAAGCTAAATCTTGGCTCCAAATTCAGACTCATCGTGCAGCCTTGGTCACCAGAGCTACTGTTAGTGAAACTGATGAGTAAGTGTTATCATTCATTAGAAATAAAATATTTTTAGTATATTTGCACGTTTTTCTCCTTTAGTATAAACACTTTATCTGATGATATGAAAAAATTTTTAGAACATACAAGTATAATATTACGAAAATCATTAGAACGTTATTTATATCAAGTACAACAAAAAGAAGCTGAAAAACAAGAACAAGAACAAAAAAAAACTGAAAATAAGAAAAATAAAATTTTTGATTCTAAAAATGATAGTTCCAAATTGCGTTCGATACTCCGTGATTCTCGTACTAATTCTAAACAATTACCTATGATAGATGGTATACTTTTTATTTGTGTATTTATTGTATGTATATTATTGACTTTGATTTTTTTTAAGAACATTTTCAAAGTGTTCAACATCAACAACCATTGACATCACAATATAGTGATATCGTATCCGAATCAGTTGTATCGTTATTAAGACGTGATCCACGACGTATCGTATTTATAACGGAAAAACTTTTTGGTCAACAATTGCCCATTGTTTTACGTCAATTTTTATGGACCGAATGTTTATTAAAATTTGAAAAGAGACCATTTGATCATGATTTGGTAATAAATAGTATAATGTTATATTTGATAGATTAATAAATTATATTTTCTATAGAGTTTTGTCGAATTTGAAACACGTCGAAATTTTGCTGCTGGTGTTACTCGTGGAAAAAATGAATTAAAACTACAGAATCCATCACATACACCGATAACAAATTTAATTGAAAATGCTGTCATTGAAGTAATTTTGAAAAAGAGGTAATTAAAACAAAAATTTTAATCTGTCTTTTGTCATTCTAGACATATAGTAAAGTATTTGCATTAAATCCTTATTTGGAAGAACATCATCTTCGACATACGATTAAAATATTAAATGTTTTGTATACATATAAAAAAGATTATGAACCATATTTTATCTATTGGCTTTTACCATTTCAACTATCATTTAAGGATGAAAAAAGCAAAGGTAATTTTTTCATGTATTATTGACACTGATGCATTATTATCAGAGTTCGATGATAAAATAGAATATTCTCACTCTTAAGTTTTAACAATGTTCTCCATTTTTTTGGAACGTTTTGTTTTGCCAAAAGCTCGTTCAACCTTTTTATCAATACAACAAATGTCACGATTACCTTGCAAGTAATTGATCTGACTGAAAGCTATTATAAACAATTCACACCAATGAGCTGCCTGTCAGTATAACACTGTCTGTCAGAAAAATCTTCTTATGTTGATTAGAAACAATCAGAAACCCTATTTATAACATCTTTTTAACTATTTTTTAGATGAAGAAATTTATGTTGTTGCCATGCATTTGGAATTGTTTGTTCGTCATTGCTTTCCTCAATGGTCCAATGTGTTTACGGTGGCAAGTAAAATAATGACTGATTTATCCGTAAATGATCCAGAATTTTATGATCATATTAAAACAATATCAAAAATTCGAACAAAAATTAATCCAAGAGTAAGTTTAATTTGTAAACAAAAAGATGAAATATTCTTTCTTTTTTGTTTTGTTTATTACTTTTTCAGGATTTTGTAACAGAAATTATCTCTCTTGAAAGTAAACAAAATACTGGCACATTATCATCGAAAACAGATAGAAATTATATGCGAGAAATCATGTCAGATCCAATTATATTTATTCGAAAATGGATTGGAGAGGTTTGAATTCTTTATTCATATATTTAGCTGAAAAAATACACTATGAAATGAGAAAATTGATTTATTAACTGAAATATCATAACTTTGTTTCGATATCAACTTCTCTTCAAAAAAAGAACGACAACATTTGTAATTATCTTCAAATCTATTGTGTATTTTTTTTCTTTAGATGTTTGTTGGCATATTAAATTCAAAATCTGTTCTCTATTTATGGGATCAATTTTTTATGACACAATGGAATACACAATATGTTGAATATGCCACGAAAGCCTTACTCTATTTACTTCGAGATCGTTTTATGTATGCTGTCGATTATGATCAATTACGAAAAGTAAATATTCTTATTAGAAAAATAAAAATATTATACACAATCTATTTATATGTTTGAGGTGTTTCTTGAAGAAGCGTGTCTACTACACACGGCCGATGTTCAAGCGGCATTTTGTCACATAGCTATACACAATGCTGATACAAATTTGATTCCAGCTATGAATCAACGATTTTATCCCTCACGACCCAATGGTAGATACAATGATCAGAGTGGAACAGGACGTAAAAAAGCTTATTTAGAACCAATTGGAATAAAAGATATACGATTAAATTTAGCCGTACCTATTTCAGTAAGTTAAAATGGATTTTATTTATTTATTTTTTGTTGTTTTCAAACTCTTATCATTTTTGATGGTTTTTTTTTTTATACATTAGTCAAGTGGAAAAGAATTTGAAGTTCAACAATTACTTGTCGAAGTTCAAGTATATTCTTCAAGCGAAAAATTGGGCACTGTGGCTACTGGATCATTGCCCGTATTAAGTAAAGTGAAATAGTCATTAGTTTATTTTTAATAATAATTTATTTTCAATATATTTTAGAATTTCGTGAGCCTGTTGTTCAAAATTGGCAAAAGATGACTGTTGAAATTCCTTATGATAAATTGATATTACCAATGAAAGAAGGAAGAATGTCATTTATGCCAACTCGAATACAAGCATTGGTTATACTCAAACAACGTTCAAATGGTGAGAGAATAATTTTTTCACTCTTATTTTCTTTCATTTGGATCGTCAATTTTAGTTCTTAATTTGGTTTCCATTGCACATTGTCGATTTCCATTGTATATTCCACAAAAAATTGGCAATTTAGATACTTGGGATGTTACATATGGAATGGTAACGCGTACTTTACATCCAGGACCTCCACCATCGAATATTGATTTAATTCCAGATATTCCAAAAACATTTACAGCTGGTAAAAAATAGAGCTGATTTGAGCAAAAAAATAATTTCATTTATTTTTCTGAATGAGTTTTATTTTATTTTAAGATAAAATTGGTCCTGGTTCATTAATTGAATTAACAGTTTATGATCCAAAAAGTGAACAACATTTTAATCAGTAAGTTTATTTACACAAAATTCCATTTTATTTTATTTATAATTAATGTGCTATGAATAATTTTTTCTCTCATATTCATCGAGATATATGAAGATACTCGCGTATATAACTAAGATTTAGATCTAGATAAATCTCGTTTTCATCTATATACGATTATTTGCATAGATTAACAAATACAAAAGTGAAAGACAATCTTTTCCAAGATACATATTCTGGTAATATGAAGTGACTATTTATGCTTGATGATTCAACAAATGTCATCATACATTTTTCACTACTAGAAAAGATTTTAATTTCCATTTATTTAATGATTATTTATCACTTCAGTAGTCAATTCATCTAAGTCTATTCTGCTTAAATCAAATATTTATTTTTCTTATATAATTTGTTAGACTATTACATAGAAAAAAATATTTTACTCTTGAGAGTCAATCAAACTCTATTCAATTTTGATTTCTGCTAAATTACTTATTCTTCATCATTGACACAATTTTAAATAACTCTAAGCTTGATAATGTTGAAAAAATCATTTATTTATTTATCATTTCTTTCTATTTAGAATGTAATCCAATGATATTAATCTGAATATTTGATCTGTATCACTGGTAATTTTGTTTACTGTGTATTAAATTTCTTTTATTTTTTATGTTTTATTGCTTCTCTGTGATCAATTATTCTCCGTCCATTTCATTATATTTTTTAACATAATTCTTTTTTTTTTAATTTTTTTTTTTTCTATTGAAATAAAGAGATAAAATAAAAACTGTTAGAGAACCTTTTCGTTGAAATAGAATATTTTTATAATCATATTTTTATCTAAGTACATCACAGGTGAGAAAATTTTTTGATTATTATTTACATAGGAATCGAGATTTTGTTAGTAGATTGAAACTAATCGATTTTAACAATTTAGAGAAATTAAAATTTGTTATCGTGATATAGTAGATATTTTCAACCATGTCAAAATTCGACAATGTTTTCGAAATTTTTATTTTTCCAATTTCGATCGAGAACATGGTTGTGCTATGTCGATTATTATCACTACTTTTTTTATTAACCATGACTATAATATAATGTTTTTTCTTCTTGAAAATTACCGATATAAAAACAAAAGAATGAAATGTAGTCAAAAATCATTTTTAATTTATTCAATGACTATCAGAATGTTATTTTTTGTATTATACACAAATATTTCGTTTATTTCTCGAATTTTAAATAAATCATTGATATTTATTTTGTTTCTAAATATTGTTATATATTTATCAAATTTGTATGTGTTAATTAGAAGAAGATGCCATCGTACACTATTACTTAAATTAATTCCATTTGCTGCAGTAACATTAACATTTTTTAATTTAATATTCTACATTATTCACGCGCTACAATTAACACAAAAATTAATCGGTGGTCTACAAATAAGTCTAATGAATAAAGAATCAAGTCAATTGCTAAACGGTATATCAACAATTTATGTGAATATAGTTAAAATACTTCAATGTTGTCGCTTAGAAGATGGACTATTATCCGTTGAAGAAGTAGAATATTTTTCTCATTTTAAACATTGTAATACAACAGTAGATAACAGACGATATTTAAAAACACCATGTTTACCATATTTTTATCGAATTGCTATTTTATGTCAACTTATTTGTGCCACAGATTGGCTCATCTGTGTAGTAATTACAATTGTGACAATTTGTTATACCATGAACATATAAGAAAAAGATTTTATTTATACATTTCTAACATTTAAAGATAATGATGATGATTTATTGCGAAAGATATGATCAGGCCTATGGCCCGCTTTCGTGACACAGCAGAGAGATTAAGTTTAAAAGAAAAGAAGTATTACAAACAAACAAATAAACAGATAAACAACTTTTAAAAGAAACAACAAGGTACAAAAACAGTTTAAAAAAAAAGGGACATCACAAATCATAAATTTAACAGTTTATTTAGAATAGTTTTTATTGGGTTTAAAAGCAAACGCAATATGTTTGTTTCATACTTTTCTTGGTAAAGCAGATAGTTAAAAATAAGATTTAGAAAGATATCATTTGAAAGAAAACCGTACGTAGTAAATGAACGAGACAGCTGAAAAATAAAGTCTTTTAATAAAACACAAGAAGCACGCTTATGAAGTTCATGAGTGGGAAACCATGTTGGGAGACGTAAAGTGATTTTTAGACTAAAGTTTTGTATGCGTTGAAGTTTAGTCCAGCTAGAAGTAGAAATACATAAGAGACACGGAGCAGCGTACGTTAACAGAGGGCAAAGAAAAGTTTTGTAAACAAACACAGCTGTATGAGGAAGAAGTCCCCAATGTCTGCCGCACACGGATTTTAAGGTACCCATACGTTTCCGCGTACGAATACAAATATCATTAATGTGAGAGCAAAAAGACAGCGATAAAACCTAGATATTTAAAAGTTTTTACTTGTTTCAGTCCATTTCCATTTAGAAATAGGAAAATAGATGAGTTTTTATCACGTGGACATTTGGAGAAAAATAAAGATACTGTTTTTGAGTAGCTGATTTTTAAACGCCATCTCTTACAATAGATGGAAAGACGATTACAGAAAACCTGTAACAATTGTTCGCTTTGCTTAGCATGGAAACATTCGCACAGGGCCGCTAAATCATCGGCATACATAGAGATGTTTACTTTCGCAGAAGTGCAGAAAGAGGGGAGATCGTGAATGACGAAATTGAAGAGAAAAGGAGAGAGGATGCTCTCTTGAGGTGTACCGAAAAGGCAGTCATATAGTGAAGAAGAGTCATTTTAGACTTGAACGTAAAATTTTCTATTTTTGAAATAGGATTTTAATATATTGCCAAGTCGACTTGGGCATTGTTTTTCATTTAGTTTAAAAAGAAGGCCATTACGCCAAATTCTGTCAAAAGATTTTTCGAAATCGACGAACAGACCCACTGTTCGTTTGCTTTTATTGAAAGATGTTTGCACCTGTTGAATTATATTTAAAATTTGATCCACTGTACACCTGCCTTTCCTGAAACCGCTTTGTTCGAGAGGGATGATGTTATAAAAATTCATCCACGCGACTAGCCGTAATGCTGCGAGTCGTTCAAAGACTTTAGAAAGATTTGGGAGAAGACTAATAGGACGATAGCTATCCGGCTACATTTAAAGAATGTTAAGGCTATTACTTCTTTTATTATTTTGAGAATGTTTCATTCGTTTGTCGTCAAATATCTTATTTTCCGAACAGTTCGTTGGTTTTAGTAATGTCTAGACCTGTACCATTGCTGACATCGGTTATGATTATCTGTTTTATTTTGAAGACATTATCTAGATAAATCAATGTGATCTACTCTAATGGAGTCTTTGGAGACAACGTGGTTTGAAAAGAAATACTCAGAATAAAGGAATTGAGGTTAAGAAATCTGATAATTGTCAAGTACTTTTTACAAACAAAATAAACGTCGAAAATGCTTTACGCTAGAAGAAGAGACCAAAATGAGAATAATATGTACTGTTGGACTTTATTTATCGCTGTCACAAGAGACGACAGAGCGAGTTAGAAGCTGTGGGAACAACTTTTATTGCAAAATGTAAATATCGAAATATTTTTTCTGATGTTTGCACATCGAATTCCCTACTTTTATACATCAAAATCAAAATTGAATGTGAAGAGTTAGAAAAGAATGGAGGTTAAACTCTCGTCTCTCTGTGAAGTGTTAGTTTATTGCACAATTGTATCTGATGGAATTCTGTTCTTATAATGGATTGCTACTATACTGTTGTCCGCTCAAATTTTACTGGAAATTAGTTTCGCTTAGCAGAATTAGTAGTGAATCTAAAAATTTTTTCTGATGGGTGCGGATCATTGAAAACATCGTTAAAAAAATTCTTTTTATTGGTGAAAATTCGCAATTTTCTATCTCTGGTAAATGTGGCCGTACCATTGGTAAATCCGTCACTGTACTGAATATATGGATAGTTTTCAATTCAAAGTTCTAACAACCGTTTTTTGGACCCATGTTCGAAGGATATCTTAAGAAAACTCATAGATGGAATTTCAAAAACTTTAATCGTCACTATTCTTAGACATGAACAATATCTCCTGAAAGTTTCGTCAAGAACCGACTGAAACTAACCGAAATATTTTTCTGTTTTACGAGATTGAAAAGTTTTTTGTAAGTACAGCTAATTTAGACTAGATTTCACAAAGTTTGTCGTTTGATTCAAGTGAGTGTGACATGAGCATAGTTATTTCCATCTGTACTCGAAAATTCTGGATGATGTTTCTGTAGTATGTTTCATACATTATTCTTATTATAATACATTTATATTCAATTTTAGTATTTTTTGTTCCGTTTCTAAAGTTCTAAGGAGTATAAATTATCGACGATTTTAACGATGTTGATAATAAAGCAGATAGTACAAGAGTAGAAATTAGAATTGAACTTATGTAATCGATTTGATCTGTTACCAGTCAAAATATTATCATTTGAAACTAATATTAATCGAAAACGGTATGAATATCAAGCAAACACCAAGACTATCGGCACCGGTATTATCACTATTTATTGATAGCAATACATGTCTAATAGCGCGCATTAAATGATAAAAGATTATTTATGTTTTCATCACATCTTTATATGTGTGAACTTTGCGATATACATGAACAATAATAAATTTATTTGACACATTTTGTTTTTTTTTTCCTCAATTTTTTGTTTTTACTCATTTCATTTAGAGATTTGGATTGAACAGTTTCATCCATACACTACTCATCATTGTAATTCTTATTCTCGCTTCTTGATATATTTTGATATAATCATTGCACTCATATATATTCACTAGTTGTTGTTGTACTATACCAGTATACATAATAATAGATGGGCGTATAATTTGCTATGTTTACTGAACATTCTAAGACAAAACAAAACAAAAAAACATACAATTCATGATGATCGACCATTAATATAAAAGTTTGACATTTTTAATCTCCTACAATAAAAATTATAAACATAATTGGATTGTTTAGAGACATATAATTTAAACAATCCGTTTAATTTTTAATTCATATATATTTAACAGTGAAACTTGATTTTTATTTGATAAAGATGAAAGATGAAAAATAGTTTTTGAAATAATTTCATATACTTCTTTTATTCCTGTTTTTTTTCTTCATTGTGCCAATTTTCAACCAATTGAAAGACAAAGAGTCATTATTTATCATTTTTGCTCGTTCTTATTAGAATTATTTATTAGTTGATATTTAAAATCACCAAACATGATCTCGACATTCACTCTTCATTTATTTCATTAGAATAGTCTCTTTTTATAAAGAAAAAAAGTTGCATTTTTAGATTATTATCTAAACTTTTTTGTATCCTTTTGAGCAGTTCCACATTTTCTCTCGTGCTTATTTAATTTCCCAAAAGAATATATCAAGAATAAAGTATCATATCTGTGTGTGTGTATGTGTGTGTGTGTCTGTGTCTGTTTCAAGCAGCAGAATGATCAATAACAATAATTAGAAAACCCAACAAACAAGTTGTATTGGTGATTTAATCTTGCTCGAGGACATTATTACCATCATATAAATGGGTAGGATACAATCAGAAACAATTAAAAAAGACTTAGAAGAATTAAAAACCATGCACCAGTTCTAATACTAGAAGTTTTTAAGTGTTTTATTTATCTCAATTTGAATATTTGATCAAGTACAGTAAATAAATGAATGATATGGTGAATGACGTATAGAACACGATATTGACGTGCAAATCGATTAATATATTTCTTTTTTTTATCATCAATGATCACAAATAGTATGAAAATGTCAATATATTGCTAAGGTATTTTTAAAACACGACACAAATACAATGTTCATTTTTCTTTGCTTAAATATATTGTAGTTCTTATTCATCGTCTTCAGTTATTTGAATACTAAACAAAATATACGTATAGTGAATTGATGATTGTTATCACTTGAGCGTGTCACAACTCATTCTTATAATGATCAACTTGACTTAAACGTGTATTTTTACCTTGCTTTTCATAGATAAATATCCGATCATTAAGTTAAAGAAATGATATTATCAGATTAGGTGATTTATAGAATTACAATGTGAAACAATTGAGTTAATATTTGCACATTAAAAGCATAGATTTTTCTAATCCAATGTTATCTTTAAGAAACCAAGAAAAGAAAAATAATTTTTTGTTATTTCTTACGTTTGTCGCTCTCATTTAGAAGAAGACACAATTTACTTTTTGTTTTGAAAACTATCATGATCTACGTTAATCTGAGATGATTTAACACGAATAAATTTGATTCGATAATCATGAAACAAAAATAGTAGTTGGTGTATGAGTTCTTCTGTACTATTCATATGATTGATATGTATCATCTATATACAATAGGCAATTGTGAATGATGTATAGATGTACCATTTTCTGTCGTGATGTGCAGCGTTCTCGTAGAAGTACGGTCATTGAACTAGTGAGTTATTCTTATCTCAACACTTCTATTCAACCACATTAGAAGTCAAATACTCGACATAGGGCCGTATCTGCCGCTGTAGAATAGGACAAAACTGAAGATGATCATTCGTGTTTCTCATAAGTGATATGACTATTCTAGTGTTAAGACTGAAAATCTTTTTAAGTATAAGTCAATGAAAGTACGGCTTAATACTCATGGATACAAACTATTTTCCAAACTGATCTAGTTAATTTTGTGTAGTATAGAAATATTTATCTAAATTTTCACAACTTTTCACTGATCTTTCTCTTTGTGTTCAGAAGCGCTCTCTTTTGAACCCCAGTTTTCGGCCTCAGAAGCTTTCCAACATGTTCATAGATAGAGGATCCAGTAAGCATCTACGCTTTTTATTTCTACTTGTATCTGTTTTTTACAGAATCAAGTATACTCCGGTATACTAGTTGGTATAGTATAAGATTAGTTCTCTATATTTTTTGGATATATTTACAGTTCGTAATTTCTTCGATTAGAAAACGATGATGTTTTTTCAATTTTATTTCTTAAATTTGAAGGATTTGTTTCATCAAATTTTTCAATTTCGTCTATATATTTAAAAACTCCTCAAAAAACCTTGTCCGGGCAGCTCCTCTCGGAGCTAAAATGGTGAAACTCCTTTGTAGGTCTTTTACTTTTAATAAGTAAAGCACTTCTACGTTATATTTTTATTGTAATATAGAGAGATGGTGCGGGACTTTTATCTGTTTTGAGATAAATAATAATGATAACTAGGGATTTTTCACTTTATTTCACATTTTTTCACTAAAAAATAAATATTTTTTCGTGATGTTTTTTGGGCGCAAAGTGAGATAATAATTTAATTTTAGTACCAACGAATACTTTATAATGAATATACCACCATTGTAAGATTAAGGCTCCACTCTTCTAAGATGAATAGGGATAGGAGGTACAAAAAGAGATCAAAATCAAGGCGTTTTGAGTATAAAACTTCAACTTCTTCTCCTTTGGAGATATTGAAGGAATTTCATAAAATATAAACCTTTGAAACAAAATTTTTTATTCCCCGTAGGACGTTTTCCAAGTTTGTGTAGTATTTGCTGACGTGTACAATGTACAAGCGTTTTTACGATAACTCATACGAAAACTATCGACAATTCTATTCTAACGTTCTATGTTAACATTGTTTTCAGCTTTCAGTATGTTAGATGATTTTTCCTCGAAAACCTCATCCAGTCAAAATAAAGTTGACTTCTTACTTAAGAAAACATCTCCAATGTAGGATTTTTTCTTTTCACTTTTAAACCCCTTCTACATTTCAAGAAAATTTCATAATATTTTAGACTAAAGTATTAATTATTTATTTATAATGGTAAATTTTTACTATAATGTATTTTAGTTGAGTTTAGTTTATATTATATATAAACTAAACTTATAATAATAGCAATAGAATTCAGGTTGTCTTGAGCAATCTCTTTTTGGACGTAAGCGTAAAGCGGTAAAAATGACAACAAAACGTTTTGGTGTATTAGAGTTGACGAAAAATGGAAATTCCAAGTTCAGGAAAAACAAGTTTAATTTTAGAATTCAAATTGTCCAGTTCTGATATAAATGTATCAAGTCTACCGTTATATCATATTTCTAATAGTAACACATTTGAAAACCTCGATGTCTGCCCGAACAATGTTCTTTCTTCTACCTATTCGTTATCCGAAAAAGCAGCTAATATATCTCGATGTTGAAGTGAGGACAATATAATATGAAAAATAGATTTTTGCCCGAAACAATTTTAATACAAAACGTGTAACAAGTTAACCAATTGAGAGATATTCGCATGATTGTTGATTTCGGATAAACTCGTCAGAAGACTTAATAATTTACATTATATTTTAGAAGACAATAAAACTTTGGATAACAGTCCATATGTCACCAACACTGACTATACGTGTTCCTCTATTCGTAGTTGAGAATATAATGGTTGAACAAGAATAAAAAGTGATAACTGTCAATGTCAATATAATTTACAATCGTACTATTGAAATGAATATATCGTGATCATTGAACAACCGATTAATAATAAGTGTCGCTTTTCTCACATATCCACTCTGTATGGTGTGTGTACATATAGCGAGTGACAAAAAGTCGACTATGCTTTCTTGTTAAACGCAAAACATCTTGTATAAAGAAAGAGAAAAAAGAGTGAAGTAGCTCTATATAATTATAGAGAGAGAGAGCGAGAGAAAGAGAAAAAAAAGAAGAAAAAAATATTATTGATCAATGAAAATAATCGCATCATGCCAATCATAATCAATTCAGGTTCAATAACAATAGTATAGTTATAAAATTAATTAATAATTTAAACAAAAATTAGAAATTTTTACCTTTTTTCTGTATCGATGTTTTTAGAAAACTATCAGTTACATATTTTCATAGACAAAATATTACAATTTTTGAATAGTATATGTGCATAAAACTTCCTTGTATAAATCATGTGAGTGTTAATCAAATTATAATCTCATTCCACACCGAATTGTTTGCTCAACAAAATAAATTATATTGAAAGGCTATGTTTTATCCTAAAATGCAATCCTAAACGGAGAATTGAATGTTAAGCACTATAAGGACAGTTTTATTAATAAAAAAAATACAATATTTTAATCGGTTGGATAGTTTGGCATACATTGCTCGTGTGTTGTATGTTGTTAAACAACAAGTCATTCGTTATATACAAGAAAAGAAGGTGTATTTGCATATGCAAAAGTAATACATTTTCTTTGTGTAAAGATTACTGTTTTGCAACCTGTTGTATTTGACAAAATTTTGTTTCTTTGTTTCATGTAAATATGCAGAAGAAGAAAAAGAATGTCGATAATGTTATTTGGCACTTGTAATTCTTCGAAATCAATGTATAGATATATAGAATATTGTAATTCTATTCATTCGATACTTATCAATATTAAAAAAAAAAAAAGAAGAAGTTGTGTTTCGACAAACAAACAAACATGTTAGAAGAATAAAACACTGAACAAGATACAACGTTCTTAACAAGAAAAGAAAAGCAAACTTTTCTATTATCACCACAGCTCTGAAAGATGTGAATATAAATGCACTCTTTTGTGGAGTTCTTCTTAATGAATTTTTCAAAAAATGTAAAGAAGAATAGAAATTTTTTAAAATTGAAGTAGTTGCAAACAAGTGTAATGAACTCTCGTCTAGTTTTCACATACATGACAGATGAATATTTAATTTCAGTATCATAGATTACCTGCAAGAACATTTCACTCTACACACTTATTCTTTGAAAATTTGTGATTAATGTCTTTAAATACGCTCTTAGTTTCCCAAAAAATATGATATTAATCCTTGAAATGATTCAAGATTAAGGTTTTTGTTCTCAAATACTCATGAAAACTTTAAGAAATAGTTTAAAAAACATTATAGAATTGTAATCGGTTGTTTATATACTTCAATAGTTTCTTTCTCAATTAGACAGCCAATCATCATTCTGAAACTATCATTTTCTATATATTCTTATGTAGACTGTGACAATGTCTATATATCATAATTTATTTCATTATTATTATGATTATATTGAAGTAAGAGCAGCTGTTCTACTCAACAAGAAGAAAAGACGGTATAGTGGTGTCGATGATAATAATGATTTACACCATACGGTCGATAATTGATAGTGTTGATCAGAAGAAGAAGAAAAAAAAATGTGAAATTTATGCAAATCAATTAATCTATGTAAATGACCGCGGTTGTCATCAAAACCAATAACAACAAGGAAAGAAGAAGTTAACCGAAACCTGTTCATTCATCTGAGTAAAATAAGAAATACCTCGAAGGTTTACTAAAAGGTCTTTTTTTTTTAGCAGTCAGTGTCATAATATTATTTTGTTATGATATTCTTTTCATCAAGTGTCAATATAATAATACTAAATATATTATTCTCACTTTGATAGAGAAAAATGATACAATGATAAGGTTAGAGTCTATGTTAACAATTTTTCTTTAGAAATATTTTTTCTTGTGAGTTGTTAAATGATGTGTGTACTGAGTTATTTAACACCTATGAAAATAAGATTTTTGTTTGATTTTTTTTGATCTCTAGAAACAAGTTGTTATCAATTTTAAACATCTTGTTAGTAAAAGATGCGCGATTTTCTGTATATATTGAAAGTTAAAAATGAAAAAACAAAGGGGGGTGTTGTTTATAGTAGAACTAATGGACATATTAAACGCTTCATAAGTCAAAGATATTGTCGACACTTATCTGTGTATGTGTGAAAAACGTTATATACGTATCTGATTAGCTTCTTTTTATCATTGTACGAAAGACAAAAAATGTTTTCGGATAAAAGAAAAGATTTTCACTTTTTTCTCTAAAGTCTTTGAACAAAAAATTTGCTGACTTTTTTTTTCAGGTTGATTATGTTTCAAATCAATAGGTTAGGTTTTCAATTAAATAGAGGACACATTGTATTTATTCTCTATGTACATATTAAAACAAGTACAAACAAACAAATCGCTTAAAGATATAAAACAGAAAATTTATTTAAGTATGTACTAGTGAAGAAGTAACTTTTGATGGTGATATAGACTTTGTAGCATGACATGGTGATATTGGAGATAAGCTCAATGTGGATGGTGATAATGATTGATGAGGTGATACAGAGTGTCTGACATTTGATGTTAAGACATTTACAGGTGATATTCGACATGAACGTTCAGAAGGAGAAGTTATTAAATTATAAGTAGATGATGGTATAGTATTAAACATTGAACAACATACTTCGTAGGGAATATTAAATAAATTTATATAAGATTGTTGATGTTGTGTTGGTACTATTGTATTACGAATTAATAATGTGGTGGGTGACGGTAAATGTGAGATATTATTACGAAGTGATGGAGAATAATCGTTATTATTACTAGTAGTATTGTTTGATGAGATAGATGATGAAGAAGATGGAGATGTTTGTAATCGATTATCTTTTGAATCATTAACAACATCAACAAGAGACCATATTTTTCCTTTTGGACGTGTTGTTATTGTCGTTGTTTTTGATGGTGGTGGTAGAGGAGGATCATTTGATGGTGCTATAATTGATTGTACATCTGCTGTAGTAGTTGTTATTGACGTAAAACTACTATGACCAGAATCGTAGTTATCACCAAGTTTTCGTTTATGATTTTCTGAAAATTGTTTATGATCAACTTTAGTTATTAACACTTTTTTTTCCGAGAGACTATCTGTAGTGTTATGTTCATAGAGACTATCATTTGACTGTTTTTCATCACATGAATAAGATGAATCTGTTGTCATAGCTGACTGTCCACCATTCGGTGTTGATGTTGTTGCAAATTGTGGTACTACAGGTGGTTGATAATAATAGGAAACATCATTTTTAAATCGTTTTGATGTTGGTTCTAGACAGTGTTCAGGTTCTTCTTCGCTAATTTCCGACTCAGATGTATCATCTAAATCCATAAATTTCAGAAAATGATCACTAAAAAAATCAAAAATTGACGTTCTTATACCTATATCAACATCAGAGTCATCATTTTTTGATTGTTCATCATCACCATTTTCATCATCAGGTCTATGTATTTTATTTTCTTTTTTTAATCGACGACGCGCATTAGCAAACCATGTAGATACTTGCGTTAATGTCATTTTAGTTATAACAGCCAACATCATTTTTTCATTTTTTGTTGGATACGGATTTTTTCGATGTTCATATAACCATGCTTTCAACGTTGCTAAAATTAATAATTATAAGATAAAATAACAGTCTAACTATTTCTTATAAGAATATAAACAGTAAAACAGTATTTGTAGCTCTTTTTATTTTATAATGATTGAAAAAAATAGATTTTATATATTTAATTTTAAAATAGATTTAAATGTACAATACAATAGATACCTTTTGTGTATGGTGAGATTTTTCTTAGCCGAAGCATATTATTTTTTGTATAATAATTATAACAGAACATCTTTCGAATAGTTTTACGATGGTTGTTATTGTACAAAAAATTTCAAAAGCATATACACGCATATATATGTTAATTTTCTCTTTCTATATTGTTTAACTCAAATATTAAAAATCTTGAAGACTGAAAAAATGTCAATCATAAAAACATGGTGATGTCATGACCATTTATCGGAAATAAAGTATTATAAACGAATTCCTTCCTGTTTCGTTAATAGAGAACAAAAAATATGTTAATATGTAAAATAGATGACTATGATGATGATCATCATCATAGTTAAAAGGAATGTGAATTAATGATTTAAAAAGAGCTTAATATAGAAGTGAAGAATGAATCAAAGTCAGTCCCTAGAAGCTCTCAGAATAAAAGAAATTTAATTAACATTATAATGAGTTCTTCTTCTTCTATTTTTCATATTATGGCGTAATAATCATGAAATGAAAAGAACTATGTATACATTTTACATATCAAAGTCGATTTTTTTTTTTTTGTTTGAAAAATCAGAAGAAAAAAAAAGACGATCTTTTGTTCTTGTTCTAACAAAAATGAGAGAACAGAACAAATCGTGTTTGAACAAAGTCAATCATAAAATGAATAATTAAACCAATGAGAGAAAAGAATGTTAGTGATTGCAAATATATGACCATGAAATTTTTTTCTGGAAAATATCATCATGAAAAAAAAAAAGGAAGAAGAGATGAAATACATATCATTTTAGGTATTAACTTTAGATCAAGAGGAAAGACTATAGAATTGAAATGTCTAGTACTAGACATTTTTGAAAAGAGAAAAATATTTGTGAAAACTACGATATAGCAATTTCCGTACTTAAATAAATTAAAATTTGATTGTAAAAACTTCTCTTAAAATGACCATCATATATCTCATTGCTTGTCATGCACACAATGACAAAACAAAAAATCTCTCACTTGTCTTCATATGGCACTGATGTAGTAATAGACAACAACTTGAAACAAAATCACAACTTTTTTTATTAAGGGATTAGTCACGAATGAACTGTTGTTGATTTTTTTGAATAATATGTGATGAAAATAAATATGCGGTTCATTTGATAAATACATGAAATGTTATATATGTAAGTTAACTATATATATATATATTTATTTATCGATCGATATGTATGTTTCTTAATAAATTATTAGAATATACTTACACTCTAAGATGGTTCGTGTTGTACAATACAAAAAATGTTAGTAAGATTTTCTGGGTGTGAAGTAGTATTTACGCACGTTTTCAATCTTTTTAGACAATGTTCGATGAACAAAACAACATTTATGTTTCTTCTCTGATCTTTTTACCATACAAATATTGAATGAGAATCTTACAAGCTGATATTTTTGATCTTACCTGTTGTTTCACGTGTGGCATTTTTACGTTTATGATTTGGATCGTTTAAACTAGAAGTAAATAGATAAATTTGAATAATTGAATAAAGATGATCAATTACATGATTTCTACTTACGCTAAATTGTAGTAAAAATACGGTTGTATAGTTGGATCCATCCAACCAACAGTCGGCATTATTGAACGATAATTATTGCCTTTTGATAGACTATTTGGTTGCTAAAACGAGAAAATAATAATAATAATAAAATAAAATGGTCCATCAGTGCCTTAGCAAAGAAAAAAAGCGAAGAAAAAACCTATCACCACGAAGCTGCGATTCACTTACTAATGGCATCATATTTAACTGTGTGTATAATGACGATAATTCACCGGGATCACGTGTTGGTGGAAACGCTGATATATTTTGAAAATGGCTTACGTTAAGATTATCACGTGCGGGAATTCGTGGTAAATCACATAAAAATGATCGATTATCACAGTTTTTAGACATCTAAAATACAAAGATAGAACAACATATATTTATTATTATTATTGAGTGTCGAATTCAATAATCTGATTCAAACTGATCTGTTCGTTCAAACACAATTTTCAATTTTAGATAAGCAGGTTTGCAATAATTTTTAAATAACTTCTCTTTTTTTGATTATAAAGCGTTAGTAATACGACATGAATTATCTCTAACTGAAATGGTAAGAATGAGATATTACCGTAGTTTATTCGTTCATTAACAATGTTTTATCTTTTATGTTGCATGTAAAGTTTGATCTAAATACGTTCGTTTTATTCTTTTGAATGGTCACATTTTTGAACGTACTAATTGGCTACATTTTTCTCTCTGTGGCAAAAAAGTGTATTTTAGACACACATGCACATGCACACACAAACATATCATATAAGATAAAATCATATTTACTTCATGTCCATTAAATCATACTCAAATAATTATCATGCACAAATTCAGTGTCTTTCTTTTTTCTTAACAATCAGAGTAGGCAATGTCAATCTATGTTAACACAATGTTTTTTTTTTTTACGTATTGTTTATTTCTCTTGATGAAGGTAGAGTCTACTGTATATAGACGTATACTAAATATTAATCTTTTTTTTTTCTCCTCTCGTATTGACTCTTGTAAAAATTCATGTAAAACATGAACAAATCGCAAGAAAAAAAAAAGAATAAGAAGAAAATGTTATAAACTTCTAATAACTCGTTTTCTTTTCTTTTTCACCACTTGTTGTTGCTATTATTCTCGTTACAAATGCAAATGATGTTTCATAGAGAGAGAAAGAGAGTAAGTATAGTAAGTGACTACTATTGTTAAAAAAATGTGGGTTGGCCCAAATGTAAATTGTCTGTTATGTTTCTTTTTTCATCCAATGAAAAGTAAGCAATAAGAAACCAATCTATGTACGCGTGCCGATCCTTTTCTTTTCTCTTTTCTTCTCTTTGTGAAATATAAATGATATCCATACATATTAATATTAACATCATGCAAAAAAAAGACGAGAAAAGAGAAAAAAGATCTAATATTTCATATGTCAACTTGTTCAGTTAGTAGTAAATGAGGCGTATAGCTGCAGTACTAGTCGTAAAGCAGATGATGTAAGCAAATATATTGCGATTAAACTCTATCTGGTCTCAAAGTTCAACTTATACAGTCAACGTATAAGTCCCAAGATAAATCCCTTTTCTTGTTGTTGAATTAATACAGATCAATTCGTCGATTCAAAGTGATACATAACAAAACAGAAGTAACTAAAGGGGGGCCAGAATTACTGAAACATTCGTTGCAGTAACTCTAGCCCACCCTTTAATGATATTTCAGGTAGCTAAAACAAGCTTAAACTTGACAAACCACCACTGAGAATTTGCTACCACTGGACAATCAGAGGCATAATTTGTCAACATACAATCGTACACACCTTTCAGAACAAAAAAAATTGATTTTCATCGGTGAAACTGACCTGAGAAAATATTTTTTACCAGTACATCCCTAAAACTCGTAAGTTATAGAAACGTGTCTAGATCCACCACGGTGAACAAATAAATTTTTGAATAAATATTTCTTTAAATTGAAGATAATGATCTGTTATAATCTGTAAGTAATATATGTACGTGAAAGAAAATTAGCTTTGACATTTGTTAAACAAAAGATTCACACTTGTTTTTGCTCATTCATCATGCAACAGTGTACAATTATTTTAATCCATGTTCATTAGTTGAAATGTATTCAGTTGGTTAGTTCAATTTCGTAATAGAGACAGAAAGAGAGAAGAGAAAAAGTCTAGTTTTTCTTAAGATATAAATGATGAGTAAGAAAGACGATCGATCAATCAATCAATCAATACATACGCTTGTTGTTTTTCTTTTTTTTAAACAATAGTTTCTGCCAAAAATTTGATGGATTTTTAATTTAAACTCATGATGAGAGAAGGTGGGACAAAATTGATCATCATCTTTTCGATTACGTACAACATAGTTTATGTTTTTTTTCTGTTTCTCACCAAGTACTACTACATTAGTGGAAGGACGTAAATGATAACTACATATAAACTGTGATCTTACATCATCTTTTTGATACGGTATGAATAGACGTGTTTATGCTTAAGTGGCAAAATATAAGTAAGCATATATCGATTGTTATAATACACAGCTCGTTAAGAATGAGAATATAATCATTAATTCAATAGAATAATATCGAGTGTACTTTTCTTTAGGAACAATATGGAATAAAACATTTCATTTATCGATTGACATATCATATTGATCGTTTAAACTATTAATTCCTCATTTGTTTCTTTTTCATTGCTAGAAAATATGCTTTTCACAGTATGTACACTACGAGTGTTACTATCTAATAGTTTCTTATTTAAGGACCTAACCTCAAAAATCGATATTTCTGATAAAAAAAATCCGAAATTGAGTTTTTTTTGCTTACCTAGATATGATGAAGTCTCCTCTTTCAGAATCTGTGCCACTTTCTACAAAAAAGTTAGTTTCTTATGGGTTTTTGAGAGGTTTTCTATCAGCCTCCTTACTATTTAGCAAGTTTTTAGCAATTTTTCCTTAGTGATCGTGTCTAAAATACCACCATGTTACATATTTTAAAAACTAAAGTCTAATTTAATCAATTAATATATCAATAGAAAGAGCTTTTTTCTGCAGAACCCCTTGTAATGCCTATAACTCGACAAATTGCCAACTTTTTGAGTTCAAATTTTTAGCATAAGTTAGTCAGATGGTAACCATTAATTTCTGTACATTTCATAAAAATCGGTTGAAAAATAAAAAAGTTTTTTCTTGAGGAACGATCCTCTTAAATTAATATATGTTCATTGTACAGTTATTTCTTCGACAATATCAGTTGATGTGTAACACTGTTGATGTGTTATAGTTTGATGAAGAAACGTTAGAAAAAACTTTCATAGTAGAACTAAACAATATCACAATTTCATATTTTCTTATCATTGATATAACTGAGAAAATAGAAGATTAATACTTAATACACAAGATAATTTTAGTTGTTGTTTTATTTAGAGGTGTCATTAATAAAAAATACTAATAAATAACAATCAAAACTATACTTCTATAAACGTAAATGTTTTACTTTTCAATGAATAAGTAGCTGTTATTTATTCATGAATAAAAACACTAACCATTTGTTAGTTCTATAGAAAAAAGAAAAAACAAAAAGAAATGAAAATTATTTTTTTTATTGTTTTATATAAACAGAATTCTGAAAATTAGCACATAAAATACAATTATTAATAGAGCCCATAGTGAGCTCAAATAAGAACGAAATTTGATCGAGATTAATTGTTTTGTCTCAATCAATTATTTCAGTGAGTAAATCTAGTTTTGTCAATCAGGTATAGATTTTAAATAGTCACTTTTGATGACACTAAAATAATAAATTACCTATTCTAGACACATAATTTTTTATATGTTTTTGTAATAGAATATAAACCGTAGTATAAATGTCTCATGTTGATTTTAAAAGATAAATATATTTTGACCAAGTAATGTCAGAACAGATCGCACACTTTGAACTTCTAAAATAATTCAAAAGTCTTTTATGTTTTATGTAGTAAACGACGAGAGTCACTGCAAGTGATCCGAGCGAGGACAAATGGATGCTGAACAAGTTGACAAGTTATTTTTTTTATACAAAAATAATTTTAATTTTCTTGCCTTTGAAGCATCACAATAGGTTCGAGAAAAATTTACTTTATTTTTATTTTACATAATGTCGAACAAAATTTACGATCTCATTAATTCAAATGAAAATTGTTTTAATGATTTATTATTAGTATTCGTCTAAAAAAATTAAAATCAATGTTTGATACAAGCTTTTAAGCACGTTCAAAATATATAGAATTTCCTTTCATTTTCTATTTTTATAGAACTATAGCATAGTCAAATCAACGTTTTATCATACCTAAAGGTAAGGCAAACAACAAATAAATTCCATTATACTGATCTACCCAAAACTAGAAAATCAATTTTGTATCAATCAAGCTTCGAACACATGAACTTCGATTTGTAGTAAACTACAAAACTCAAAAATATTTTCTCAATGAGAATATCTATAGACATATTTGATACCTGTCGATCATAAATGAACAGATTTTAAATTTTTTTCTATTTTTTGACAAATACCATATATAATTATAGTTCATTAAAAATAATGGAGTTCTACTTTGTTATATACTTCAAAAGATAAACAGATCCTTATGTCTGTTCAATTTTTGACGCTCTTTCTAAAAATATGTTTTCAACAAAATTTTCTCAACATGTATCATAATTTAGAGTATGTTAGATAACAATTTTTGTCACTGTCGAGCTTTTTAATTATAAATAAAAGAAAAACATAAAGTTGAAATCTGGAACAGCAGAGTGAGTCAAAACAGATAAAAATTTGTTTTTACGATCGTTGATCGAAGAAGTTTCATTAGATAGTCATTGAAAAATAAGTATTTTCTTGTAAAATCAACAATAGTGATTCTCTGAAAAGAATATATTATTTTAAATTATACATCATTGTTTAATATCAGCAGTAGGTATGTTACAAACCCAAACCCAAGTCTGGACTTGGATTTAGATATTGGGTCAGACTTGGGTTATTAAAAGACTCCTTTTAACTGAGATACCTTCTTTTGTTGTGGCTCTTTGAGAAAACAGGATGTAAGATGTTTATTTCGGTCTGTGGGCATACGTAATGCCTAATGCTAAAGATAAGAGCTTATTTTGGATTAGTTCAAATATATAACAGTTGAATGTTTTATTCTACTTATCTTGTTCATATCATCCTCATCCTTGAAATAGAGAAAAGTACTAAAAAAATAAGCACTGGTAACATGCCACAAATATGTTAACATATGATCGGTGAACACTATAAAAATGATATAAAAGAATAGGAAAAATTAAAGAAAAAAAGTGAAGTTTTGAAAGCGAAAACAGCGACGATGATGAGAAAAAGATCAATGAATA